CTTATTACATTGTTGGTGATTTCTAGGAACCTCAGAAAACTAAAGCTAATATTTCAACATAGGAAACATAATTCATCCTGAAGGGAAAAATACCCAGAATAGAAATTTTACAACTTGAAGTTTAAGAAATAATTAGCAAATTCTAATGCGTGAGTTTGGTTCATACTCCTAGTCAAGGTCAATCACTTGTTTTCATTCAGTTAGGTCTTTGCATTGTCACAAAGGAACGAAATGTTTGACTTCTAAGGCTCAGTTTGAATTTCACTCATAATATCCCTGCAAAGCAGAGATTTGGGTACAGCCCATATCCTGGGACTCAGAATCAAGGAACGTGATTGCAAAACCATTTTGGCAGGGAATTCACCTGCCAATGTAAATAGTGCCTCAGTTTTAGAACAGTTTTCTCTGTTTCACCTTTGTGTTTTCTGTATTTCAAAATATTGTTTTTGTGTAGGGGGCAAAAATCCAGGGAAAAGTCACCTAAGTGCCCACAGCCAGATTCTCTTCTGTATCCTACTATACAATGACAAATAATTAAGGAATTAAGATGTTTGAACAACACTATAGAACAGACGAGAAACCTTACCTTTTCCAGACCTAAACTAAAACTACATTTCATAATCCATATATGTTAACTATAAAATAGTTTTTAACAGAGTAATGTTGCCTGGATAAATCGGTTTTTTGGGTTTTTGTTTGTCTGTTTGTTTTTACCCAGAATTGATCCCATAGAGAGGGTGGTAAAATAAATGCAAATTCCCACCTTTGAGGTTTTACAATAAAAAATTTCAGCTGGGAAGACGATTTTCCTTTAACAGTGACTACTCATTATCCACAATAATGAGGAATAAAGATGGCCTGGATATAGAATCCACTAAGAGTTCCAAAAACTTATTTTGGACAACCATTTCATTCTCTAACATCATCAAATGATCTAACAGAGAGGCACAAAAGGATGAAAGAGGGCTGTTCTGAGTCTATCCTACTTTACTGTGCATGTTCATTACCAAATGAAAGTGTTAATGAGCATGAAAGTATACAAAACATAACCCAAAGAAGAAATAAATAGTAAGTAAATCCAACGCATTTAAGTTGTGCTTTCAGGATATGGCAAGGCCAAGCTAAACCACCATTCCCCGTGTCCCAGAGAACTCAACAGAGCCAACCCTGCATCATCCTGCTCTCACCCTAGAGTGTTTTCTTGGGAGTAACACCAAGCCACTTTCCAGCAAAATCTTTAGGGGTCAGTTAGGGATATGTTGTCATCCGACCACACTGGCTGCTTCTCTCTCCAGAAATAATGACAGGCATGTGTTTTTAAAATCAGCTCTCCCCATTTCCTAAGACAAGGGTTGGAGTGCTGCCTTTAGCATTTTAGCTGTTATTAAATCCAAAGTATTTTAGTTTCTATTGAAATAATATTATAGCTTCTATTATTTCATCTAACTATTTAACATTCTTCCTTTGAACAGCTTTCATTTTTTAAATCACCAATGTTTATCCATCTACTCATATCTTAAATCAAAAAGAATATAAGTATTAAGTTTATACCAAAAGCACTTAGAGGTCCCAACTAAAAAGAAATTCACTCCCACTCTGGCTGTAAGGGAAATCTATTGTATCAAGGCTTAAAAATAAGTGGTCTATTGGATAGGAGATGGAAATGGATATACATTTTATAATAAATTTTCCTCATACATATTTACTACAAAATCTTGAAGACAAAATGTGAAAAAAAAAAATCCCTAATCATATCCACCAAAGATATAAATATCAGTCACCTGCCAAGGGTTTGTTTCTTCAACATGAATGCACATCTATATTTTAAAAATACAAATTAGTTTTATTCTGTATCAACAACTTTGTTGAAATTTTAAAATATATGTCAAGAGCAATTTCTCATGTTATTAAGCCCTCCTTGAAAGCCTAAGTTTTTAATGGTTATTTAATATTTCGACTGATACCTTATATTTTAAAAACTATTATCCTATTGTAGTTGTTCCCAACATTTTGCTGTCACAGCAAACTTGTATTAATATAAATCTTAACATCAGGTCTTATTACTGCCTTGGAACTAGCTAAAGGGAGAACTAAAAA